GTGACGTGAGCACGGTGACCAGCCAGGAATCACTGTCTGTGACGTTACTGTGATGTTACGGTGACGTGAGCACGGTGACCAGCCAGGAATCACTGTCTGTGACGTTACTGTGATGTTACGGTGACGTAAGCACGGTGCCCAGCTGAGAGTTATAGTCCGTCGTCTCCATGCGCAGGATGTACGGGATGACGCTCTCTATCTGAACATTGCCGATGAGACCAGCAAAGAAGAGTTCCTCTGTGACGTTCGCTGACAGCGACCGCAGCGCGGGCAATCTGCGTGACAAGAGAAAGACGCAGAGTTATGCTGGGTTTACATTAGCTATGGACTTTATGTTGGCGAATTGACGAATTGGACCAACTTCCCAACTATACAACCGAAAATCGGCAGTGTAAACGCGAAAGTAGCTGGTCGATAGCAACTAGTTGGGAGATTAGAACATGTTCTATTTTCACCAACTCGGAGTTGCCGAATTGCGAAATTGGTCCAACACGCCAGTTCGCCAACAGAAAGTCGGTGTGTGTCGGAGAGGGACAAGCACACTATAGCATTAACTTACTAGTGCATGCTATCTGCGAGACAAGAGAAAGACGCAGTCAGGTGAGCAGAGCACCACGCACGGTAACGACGCTGCATCGAAAGAGGGAAAGCACACCATAGCATTAACTTACTAGCGCACTGATAGCCACACACAACGAGTAAAATGTACACAGAGAGGGATAAGCACAGTAAAGTATTAATCTAGCATCACTACCACACAGAGAAGGATGAGTACACTATAGCATCACTACCATACAGAGAGGGATGAGTACACTATAGCATCACTACCATACAGAGAGGGATGAGTACACTATAGCATCACTACCATACAGAGAGGGATGAGTACACTCTATAAACCATCACAAAACAATCAGAGAGGATGAGCATACTAAGCATCAGTAACCCAGCAGAGAATACACCTAAGCACATGACCGAAAACAGAGAGGGATAGCATTACTATATGCATCACACCATAATAGAGATGGTACACTATAGGCATACTACACCACACAGAGAGGGATATACATCTATAGCCAATCTCACCATAAGAGGATGTACCTATACGCATTACTTACAATATCGAGAGGATTGACACTCTTAAGCATCACTACTACAGAGAGGGATGAGCACACTTAGGCATCACACATACAGAGAGGATACACAACTATAGACACTACCATACAGAAGGGATGAGTAATATAGCATTCACTACACAAGAGAGGTTAGATAATAAAAATACAATATATAAATACAGCGTCATCTTGATCGCTTCTATTGATTTACCAACACGGAAGGTGAGTACATCAGCATCACTACCGCGTTCGGCACAGAAGAGACAGGATATCATATAACATAGCAATCACTCATACACACAGAGAGAGGAGAATGATAAAATGACTAGTAGGCTAACCTACCCTCATAATATATTAGCAAGATGTGTATGGAGTCAGCCGTGCTATATAATAGCACAACACTATCACTAACAGAGATGAATGAAGATAAACTAATAAGCATCAACTTGCCAACCTGTAATAAGATCGAAATCTCAGAGAGGTGAGATGACAAACATAATAGAATAACTACAATAACAGACGAGACACCACTATAGCAATCAAACTACATACGAGTAGGTGATGAGATACACTATAGCATCACTACATAGTAAACAGAGAGGAGATGATATACTATAAGATGATCATCAGAGAGAGGATATTAACTAATAACTCACTACATATCAAGAGGAAGTACATTCACATAAGGTGTATTAAGACTAGAGTAAGCGAATCTAACTTCGAAACGTACTGTCAATTAAATCAATCCGTTATTTGTAACTTCAACTACGGACGTCGACCAAATTATCAAAAAAGCATGCTAACAAGCTTTTGCGAAAATTCCTAGTATATTATAGTTGCGGTTAATAATACTCCTCTCACGTAAATTCAGTAGGCAGAATAAGCACCAATAAATGACCAACCTATAAAGCATACAATCTACACACAATGAATGGAGACGGTGCGGATGGACATACTACTAGCATATGCACTAACCCATAACATACAGAAGATGGAAGTACGAACCACTATAAGCAATCAACTATCGTTATTGAAACACCAGAAGCGCATGAGTACACTATAGCATCACTACCATATCTAGTTAATCAGACGAGGATGATTACACATACGCATATACACCAAATACAGAGGTGGATAACATACCTATATGCATACTACCCAAACCTGAGCAAATGAGAGTAGGTATAGGAAGAGAACACTCATCGCTATCAAGACAATGCATACCCTAACAGATACAGAGAAGGGATGATAAGGCACTACTACTAATGCACCACTACCAATAACTTGCTGCTGGCAAAGTAAACCATAAAACTATAATAACAATACATAATCTACAGAGAGGATGATAACCGCGATAATCGCTATCAACTCCACTACAATGAGGAGGTATGAGTACACTATAAGTCATCTAACTAATGATACAGAGAGAGAGAGTACTACTAAAAGACAACATACACAAACACGAGAGAGAACAACTATAGTCACACTAAATTAATAACATAAGCAGAGAGGGATGGTACACATTAGCATCAACATATCTATTAAAACAACAAGAACAAAAGGATGATGCAACTAGTACATGCATCACTAAATCATACCGAGAGGGATAAGTACCACTATAGCATCACTACCACCAGAGACGGGAATTGAGCAGACTATTATAACTGTGCATCACTACCCATATGCTAGAGGATGATCAGCAACTATAACATCAGCTAACCACCAAGGAATGACATACTATATGCATCACACCATACGAAGGATGATTACACTATTAACGCACACATACTAGAAGGTATAGTAACTATAGCTCAACTAGACCCAAGCAGAGAGGATGAGTACACTATACATCACTTACCGACATCAGAGATAGGATGTAAGTACACTAATCCATCACTACTAGGACGTCATTGAGTATCCAAAATATATTAGTGCGTCACGTCGATTTCATTAATTGAATATGTTAATTATTCTGTCTGATATCTCATCACGATTTCGATTCCGCATGTCATTTTAATCAATTGTAAATAAAACACTGGAGCCGATCAGTGAAAGACAGTAAACCAGTATTGTTTCTAGCAAATTCTATTGACATAACGATTCAATCTGTTAACCATCCGCTGTTCTTAAATACCAACATGGCTGAAGTAATATTTTCAGTTTCATGATTGAATTATTGCGCCAGAGTGATGCTGTCGCATTCGGGAACGGTCTGATCAGCGATAAGCAGCAGGAGATTGCCTTTCACGGAACACGTTATTTTACAGATAATTCATGTAGACACAGGATGCCACCAAGACAAAATACACTCAACGTTATATGATGTCTCTGTAATGCATAGCGCGGCCTGGAATATCTTCCGATATGGCGGCGCCGGCGCTTCTATTCCAAAATGCTCCCGTGAGCTCCGCTGGCTAACATTTTACCAAAACAAAAAAATAAAAAAAATAAAAAAAATAATCGATCGCTAATTTTCGATATTTCGATATCGATATCCGAGCAAAATCCATCCGATTTATCGATGAGTGGGCGCATCGATGTATAGTCTAAATCACTACGATACCGAGAGGGGATGAGTACACATATACGATCACTACTATACCAGCAGAGGGATATACACTAAGCTCACTTACCTCCGAATA